AAGAGGAAGGAAAAGAAAAACAGAAGGGGAGAGGGACAGTGAGAAAGGAGGGGAGAAAAAAATCTCCTGGATCACCTGTTGAGAGAAGAAGAATAGAAAACAGGCAAAAAAAAAAAAACCAAAGCAACATACTAAACACAACACCATCGCATTAATCTAGCTAAGTGTAATGCATCAATTTTCCAATACAGTTATCCTTGCCTTCTGTGTTGTTGATTGTGTCGTTGATGTTTTGTGTTTATGAAATCGCCACTTTCATATTTTACAGCCAATTACATGCGTCAAGAAGGGAACATATATTCAGTTCTTGATGACGTTGTTATCTGCATATCCTTTTTTCTCTGCATTTTGTAAATAAATGCACACAGTTATTATAAATGCATTCTGCAGTTTTCTGGGTCTGTCTAGATCTAGATGTCTTATTTCTAAAAGCATTAATTTATTTATTTCTTCGCAGTTTTTTATTTTAATGTATTAATTTATTCACTGTTCTTATGTGTTTATTTATTATTTTTTGTTTTATTCTTGTGCTATTGCTGCATTTTCAAGCATTTTAATGCAATTGTACGACCGATAAAAGTTTACTGGGTGGTTATTCGTACATATTGTTTTGGATGTAAATAGCAGGTCTGTCTTATCCACCCATATAATTTATAGTTATACATAATAACAAAAGCTTTCTGAATCATAAAAATCAGCACTGAAATCATTCCCTGCTCCATTACAGAGAATGATTTCTGTGCAAATCACTTCTCTGACACACTATAGCTATTCTCTCTTTATAGAGCTGTGTAGAGGACACTCTTCTGGAACTGAAATAGAAACGGAGCCTTCACTAATAATTAAACATAAACGCTTTCTGAAAGTTTGTTGTAATGATGCAAATGGAGAAACAGACAGACCCAGACTGCTGCTCCCCACACGATCCATAAGAGGGTGCACTTTCTCTCTTCTCATGCTCTCTCTCTGTCCCTCTATCTCTCTATCTCTCTCTCGCTGTCCTATCCAGTCAGGACATGAAGGGTCACCATAAACAAAGAGGCTTTAGAGGTGAATAACCCCAGCTAGGAGAACATGCTGGCTGGGCTCCCTTTGTGTTGCTGCGGTCATAGTGTTGTTCCAGCGAGCGTCAGCACTAACAGCAGCTGGTGTGCTTCAAGCTCTTACTGGCAAATCCCACTGAGTCATCAGCAGGCTGTTCCTCTTTGTCCACAGGTTTAGGTGAGCCCTGTGACCTCCTTGTTGGAGTCCTGTCTGCTGGGTGTCACACTGCACCACCACCTGCACTGACGTTAGGACACAGCAGGGTGGGATACAGGCACCCTTTAAAACACCTGTTGTTCTAACTCGAGCAAGATGTGACCGTGTGCTTACTTTGCCATCCTTAACATTATTACCTTCCTTATGTACTGTTTTCTTCTGTCCATGCTGTGATGCCTGTAAGCTGCTCTTTTACTAACATTTAGCCAAACTTAGCCAAGTTAACCCTTTAACATTTAAACAAACTACATACATGGCAACATTTATTTCATTTGATGCGATGAAAATAGGAAGCATGAAATAATGACTGAACACATATTTGCACCAAGACATTAAAGAGGTAATAAAGGACTATTGTTCCTGTCAAGTTGAACTCTTCGAATAGTTTACACCAGGAGTGTCGGACTCCAGGCCTCGAGGGCCAGTGTCCTGCAGGTTTTAGATCTCACTCTGGGTCAACACACCTGAATAAAATGATTAGCTCATTCCCAGGCCTCTGGAGAACTTCAAGACATGTTGAGGAGGTCATTTAGCCATTTATAATATTAGTGATGTGCGGATCGATACGGAAATATTGATTCCTCCCATACCAGTCATTTATGCTCTAAAATCGATTCTCATATTAAAATATCGATATTTTAGTAATTTAGGGTAAATTTGTAGTTTATAGAGTGGAAAGAAACTATATCATTCGGATTGTCTACATTGGAAGGAACTACTTCCTCTTCCGCCTTTAATAGTCATGTGTGAAATACGGCTGCATAAATGTGTCGCAGCCCCTGGCGTGCACACTCACAACAGTGGCTGAGCGTAAACGGAGTCATGTGTGGACGTATTTTACCGATACATGTGGCAAGAAAGTGAGGTGTTGTGGCAACACCACTAACCTTGTCAAACACCTCAGAGTAAATCATATCACAGAATATGACGAGCGTATGTTGAGGCGAACTGAAGAGGAGAGGGACAGGTGCTGCTAGGGCGAGACAGACGTCTCTCACGGGGAGATACAGTAAAGATACAGTAAAAAAAAGGTTTTTGTACAAAGTATCGGTATCGGATCAGTATCGCTGATACCACCCTGAATTTTACTTGGTTTCAGATCGGAAAGGAAATCAGTGGCATCGCACATCACTATGTAATATATCTCAACTCCTAGGTTACTTTTTAAAATTCCCAGCTGCAGGAAATATCCCCACATTCAGTCAACAGCATCTCCATAAATCCACGGATTCCTTAATGATGACTGATTGAGAAATAAAATAAGTCTCTGTTCCAATCAACACGTTAAAAAATGTGGGGGAAAAATGTAAATAAACACTTTCTAACACTGAGTCACGACACTGATGTTATTGAATCTTTGTTAATACTTCTCTGCATCTCTTCAATAGCTGTTCTGTTATGTTTATGAGAATATTAGAGCAGCCGTATTGGTTACTATCGTATAAGCATTTTAGCTGCTCTGTTCAGCGGTCGCCAGATCTGCCTCCATCTCGCCCAGTGCTTAACATCCTTTTCTGTCACACCAACCCTCTCCACGTCTTCCTTCATGACATTCATGAATCCTCTCTGACATCTTTCTCTTTTCCTCCTGCCTGGCAACTCAATATTTTATATCTTTTGTCCAATATGCCCACTATCCTTCTGTACATGTTCCCAACCATCTGTTCAGCCTGAGCTGGTCACTCCCAGAGAAAACCTCAGCATATTCAACTCTGACAGCTTAACGCCTCCAGTGCCACCATCTCCAAACTATACATTATAGAAAGTCTCATTTTCATCTTGTTGCTGTCCTTCTTTCACAAGTCACCCCGACACCCATCCCCACCCACTCCATCCTGCTTATACCTATTCTCAGTGAATTTAATGTAAACAATATTCATAAAATTGTTCAAATTCATTTGGTAATGATGTCATTAATCTGTATTGCTTGAGAAAAAGCTTAGATCAGGTCGTGGATGCAGTAAAGAGGGCGTTACGAGTAAAAGAAGAATTAGAGGAATTTTAAAGTTTAATAAATCATGCTCTCTTTCATCAGGACAGAGGAGGGTTTGAAAATCATTTTACACTTTCCAGCCCTCATGAGCATGAAGGGATACACATATTGAGCACAATTCTTTTTTATTAAATGTGCAAAGAACATGAGATAGACTGAAAACATGCGATAGACTGTCTAAATGTCATGGACACGGCGGAAAGACCCCACATTGGGACTCATTGCAGCCCACTCATTGAAGCGGCGGTACTCTCCTCTTTCCAGGAGATACTGGCGTCCACGATAGTTGGGAAGCTCGTAGAAGACCCAGGCGCCATCCTGCACTTGGGCAGAGTGAACCTCCCGGTGGTGCCAGCGGTCGGGCAGGTTGTTCTCATCTTCAGTGCAGTCCAACATCTGACCGCTGAAGTCAGGACGCTCATAAACACGGACCCTGAATGCACCAGAGGTCTGTAATGCAAACATCAGTTCAGTCTGAGTGGTAATACCATTTGTGTTTTACAACAGTGCTAACTGGCATCTACAGCCATGTGAATGCAGTATGCATTTAAAAAAAAATCTATTTGAAAAAGACACTAGCAAATATCCGACATTGATCTTGGAATATAAATCATTTATCATTTCTAAGCTCTTCAGTCTAATTTGTCATAAAACTGATTAAAACCTGAACCTAAGTGACGACTAACTGGGGTTTTCATTGTCAATAAATGTAACATCTGGAATAGACAGTTAAACTATCACACTAATGACATGAGGTGAAAAGTTACTAAAGACTGATTAATTCCACTCACGTTCCGTATGATCCGACATGACCTGATGCTGTCATTGTACCCCATCCAGCTCTGATAATGTGGATACTCCCCCCTGGTCAGTATGTACTGGTAGCCCATGTAGTTAGGCCTCTCGTAGAGTACCCAGGACCCACTCTCTACGCGGATAGAGTTGCAGTGACTGAAATGGGCGTTCAGCTCTGGACAGTCACTGCTGCACTCATAATAGCGACCTTGGAAGTTTCTGTCTTCATAAAATACGATCTGTGAATGGATATGCATATTCACACTTCATGCTCGAGGTGCTGCTGCTGCAGTTGAATCTTTAAATCAGATAATGTTCGTCGTCCTACCTTTCCCACACGGTCCATGTTTGGCCCTCACACCAATTTTTGAGCACCGTTTCTTTATCCCACCTTTTACATAGACATTATTGCCTACAGCCTTGGTCCAGATTTATATATGCAGTGTATGTGGGCACACTGAAATGCACTGCCAGGGGCATCATTGTTATTTTAATAGCCTCAGCATTTATATCAGCACAATGGCTGATGCTGCATTTGTTTTAGCTTTATACAGTGTTTACAGTGGCTGACCTTTTGATCTGTCAAAGCCCGATTCCAGAAACGATTTATTGATCCAATTAAAGTGTCTGCTGCAAAGCTGCTGCAGCTGCACCTGATGCTGTAAAGTTGGCTTGTGGCCACATAGCAACATGATACTGGCTTTAACTAGGCTTGAGTGGAGGGGACAGGTGATGCTCCACCCTCCATCAGCAACCCCACCTTGGTACAAAGTCAGCTGACAGCTATCACATGAGCTCTGCCAGACGTGGTGTACAGCTACATGTAGAATTAGGAGCAATACAACGTTTGAGAGAATATATATTTTCATTTCCTCTAACTTGTGGTGAAAAGATTGAGATCATGCAATCTCCCCTTAATGTATTCACAAGAAGAGACAAGTGCAATGACACATTCAAATTAAAACAATATATTTTTTTAACAGGTCACATTTTAAGCCTTTATGATTCTTCTGATGGAGCCTACAACTGCTTTCAGAGCTCCCCACTCTGAGCAGTGGTGGTACTCCCCTTTCTCCAGCAGGTACTGACGGCCGCTGAAGTTGGGGTGTTCAAAGAACACCCAGGTCCCCTCTAGAACCTTGCAGGACTGGACTTCTTGCCGGAGCCATTTATCCTGGACTGACTTTATGCTTTCTGTCAGCTCCAGAGATTGGCCAATAAAGTTAAGTCGTTCATACAGCATCAGCTTGTAGGGCCCTTTGGGCTGAAAGTAAAGAAATGTAGTCAGTTTGACGTGTGACGTGTTTTTCTACTGATCACTTCTAGGCGGAGACTTACATTTCTGATGATCCTGCAGGATCTTACACAGTCATTGAATCCCATCCAGGAGCTGTAATTATTGTACTCTCCTGGACCAATGACATATTGGTAGCCGGTAAAGTTGTTGCGTTCGTACAGAACCCACCAGCCACCTTCTACTTTCACTGAATTGCATCGGCGGATGTAACCATGCAGGTTTGCTGAGTCCCCTTTGCAGTCATAGGACTTTCCTTTGAAGTCCCGATCTTCAAAAAACACAATCTAGAAAGAGCAGAATTATACAGAATTTTACTCGCATCGAATTCAATCTGAATCTGTGTTAACTGAAATATCTACAGCACTAAATTTAGAGCCCAATTAGATCGTCTATGAATGCTGTAAATTCTCACCTTCTCCATCTGCCGAGCCTAAAATACTACACTAAGTTACCAACGTAGTACTCTTTATACATGGCAGAGACAATGCTACCAAATGCATGGTTAGCAGTGCCTGTAACCATGATTACAATTCAAATATTCGTCTAGAGTCTGCCTATTGTTCTTACTCACTGAATTGCTTTTCCGAACACAATGATTGTTTAGCAGTGCCAAGAATCTAAACCTGCTTGGTCTAAACAGATTTGAAGCACAGCTATAAATGTGTGTGTGCAGTTTTATGTAAAGCTTTTGTTAAGCTGTTGATTATGAAAGTTTGAGTTCAAATAAAATCTATGATCCTTTTTTTAACCTTTTTTCTTTTGTATTATTATCTGCATGCAATCATGGAAACAAGTAGTGTATGTGTATCCTTGAATGATGAAACATTAACTGAACTGGTGTACAGAGGTCCCTCATTTGTCGTGGGAGTTACGTTCTAAAAATAACCCACGAGAAGTGAAATCGGCGAAGTAACGAACTTTATTTTTTACAATTATTATAGATGTTTTAAGGCTGTAAAACCACTCACTACACACTTTATACACGTTTCTCAGAGAGGCATGAACATTTTCACACTTTTCTCTCTTGTTTAAACACAAAGTTCAAAGTACAGCACATTCAAATATACAGATTTATGTATATTTGAATACGAGGCCGCGAAAAGGTGAACCACGTTATAGCGAGGGACCACTGGACTCACAAATCATATCTCTTAGGAAAAATTCCCAATATCAAAAAAAAAACAAAAAAAAACATATAAAAGTAGAGTATTTTGAGTTCCCAATCAGGGAATTTGCTAAAACCAACACTAACAAATATGAGAACATTACAGCAATGTTTTAGTAAGTTCATAACCTTACAAGATCAGTATAACCTGTTCACATCCACCAATGACCAGCCAGCAGCTTAGGGTGTGTCTTTGAAATAGAAATAGCTTCAAATCAACTCTCTTAGATGGAGTTCTTCCCTTTATACTACAGGTGTACTATCCATTATTCTATTCCAAATATGTAAGAAGACAAAATGTAACCTAACCCAGAACAGGTCACTTGCAATGTGATGGTTATGTGATGGAAGTTAAGAAATTCAATTATGATGCATTTTATCAATGTAAAAACAATCATTTTAAGATTAGCCCTATTCATGTTATAGGTTCTATATTGGTACAGTGATTATTGATTTTTGATTTTACAGTTGAAAATGGCCATCTGAAAATGCATTTTTCTGTTATTTTCGTCATGAACCTAAATACTGCAGGATGCCTAAAAATTAAGCTTATGTTATACTCAGTTAATTTGTTTAGTAAAGTTCAGTAACCACAGAGTGATATAGTGTGTACCACAGAGTGTAATAAACACAGTGTATCAGTGCTTATACAAAAAAGTGTACATACACTTTTCTAAAATGATCATATGAAAATAAACACTATATCATCGTTTTATATCTTATTTTACATATTTGTACTGAGCCATAGAGTGGAAACGTAAAAACTACAACTTTACAAGAGGGTCTTTATCTTTGTGCAGCCATTATTTCACTCAGCAACATGCATTATTTGAAAATGTTTAACTTTTATGGGTTTGTAAAAGAACTTTCATCTTCCTGTTGTTAAATTTACTTGTTTTTTCTCATCTGATTATGCATATATATAACTAGACCTCTGGGTTGACTTAAGCAACTTCAAAAAAGGTTTAAAGAAGATGAAGGAGAGACTAAAAGCAGCTGACATAACAGGTAATGTAATAAGAAGCAACAGAGGCTGCATTGTTATGAGTAAGAAGTGTATTTATTTATTTAAGTATCGCACTTGGAGTGCTGGAAAGAAGTACAGGGTATAGGAGGGAAAAACAGTGTTGGAGGGAGGAACTTCCGGATCTTCTTCAAGAGTTCTAGAACTTATTTAAAGGTTACAAGACTTCCATGGTATCAAGACTCTGTTGGTTGTCTTATCAGCAAGACAACCAACAATAACCAAGCAATGTTCTAGAATACAGAGTCCTGCAGCTTGATCCGTCTGTCAGATTAAGAACATTGTTGGCTTGGATAATTTTTTTCACAAGCTGCAGAACCCTACTTTGGTGCTGCTGCTCTAGAGTTCTGTGACCATTCGGAAGGATCCTGCAGCAGGGGAGTTGGCGCCCCAGTCTGTATAGTTGGGGTACTCTCCACGTTCCAGGAAATACTGGTGTCCATGGTAGTCTGGTTGCTCATACAGGACCCATGCACCATCCATCACTACGCAGGAGCGCAATTCCCGAAACTTGAAGGTCTCATAAACTGATGGGCAGTCTTCGACACACTCAGCTGCCTGGCCTCCAAAATCCTGCTTGTCGTAGAATCTGATCTTCCAGGATTTTCCATAGACCTGTAGCAAGTCAAATCTCACAAAATCAGGTTGGTGTTTTGCATTAAATAATAATACTTTGAACTCAAAACTACACATGGGTTTCTTGGCTGTTTTCCCACTTTCCTTAAATAATTGATGTGCATTGGCACGGGCATAAAGCACCCAGCTGCCAAATCATGAGCCTTTTATCTCTCCTTTTTGTCTGTTGGTCTTTGACTGATTACTGCTTGGTTGGTGCACTCTGTGGTATTTTGCTGCAGCCAAGCACTCCTCTACAACTTGTTAGAATAGGCCTATTGAACCTTGGAGAAACTGGGTCACATTATGATATTGTCAGAGCTGTTACAATAAAAAGGAAAATCAATTCTAAAGAATGAATGTTAGTGTCTACCGCCTTACGTTTTTAATTGAACGACATGACTTGATGCTATCGTTGAATCCCATCCAATGCTGGTGATCGGGGTATTCACCTGGGCTCAGGATGTACTGGGAGCCTGTGTAGTTGGGATGCTCATACAGCACCCAGCACCCACTATCCACCTTAATGGAATTGCAGCGACTAAAATATGAGGTCAGGTCAGGACTGTCAGTACTGCACTCATGACTACAGCCTTGGAAGTTCTTGTCTTCAAAGAACGCAATCTGGATAGATGAATATACAAAAATTACTCAGTATTTTACAACATTAGAATACTTTGACTTCTTATGCAAATAAGACAGGCGATAGTTTGCACTCTATTCACTCAAACAGCATTTGTTCCTTACCTTCACCATTGTTACTGATATTGCTTGTCTGCCATCCAGCTGCAGCTGTGTTGTGGCTTATATTGAAAAGTAGAATGTGCAGACGAGGGAAAGCTATTGTCATCTAAATTACCTTGATTTGCATATCAGCAAAATGGTTTGGTCAAGTTTGATTTCCCTTTGTCTACATGTGATAGCCTCATATCAAAGAAGTGCCAAATGTGACATGTAAAAGTACTACTACTTGATGATAAATGTGTTGTTTCTTTTCCACTGAATTCTTAGTCTCGGTCAGCACTCTTTTTGTACACCTGAAAATCATTTGGTTATTTATCCACATTTACAGTTTGTTTTTTGCAGGATGAGATAACTAATGCATTTTATCATGACGGCAAGAAGAAGCAAGGCAGTTATTTAGTTTTGGATGACTGTTGGCTGTATTTAACCCTGAAAATAGGATCTCTTGCTGCTTTTGTCACTAATTTATATCCATATTTGTCTTGTTCTTGTCAGTGATTCATGTATTTTGCACGCTAATCTAAAGACCTTTTCACCTGTAAACAAGTGCGCTCCCACAGACTGCCAAATTAAAGTTATATATCTTCTATAATATGACTTGTATAAACAGTGGTACTATTGGACATAATATCCATTATATTTTCTGTTATTTTCTTTGATGAGCGATCAAAAAGGTTGGTAATTACAGGTCACTGTTGGCTTAGGATGCTCCATGAATGGCATGGTTTCTGATTATAGTACATATTAAATAGAGTTAAACTTAATTTGGTTTTCATTTTAGTTACATTTAATTCAGTAGTCTGAGGATCTCGTGTATGTTTAAATACATACAAAAGTTACATAAAAATGCTAAATAGTCATTAAACTAGTTAAAAATGATTAAATACACACTAAACACTCTACGTTAAAGCCATCATTACTGCCAGCGATACACTTAATTGTAAATTATTTTGGTGTATTGTATACATTATACACTGAAAAACGTTTTACTCAAAGCAAATGCAGAAATTCGCTGACTTCTTTCATTTTAAAGTATTGGCATTTTCAGTTTGTTTTCCTTTTCTCCAAAACATAGACAGAGGATGACTCACAGATTCTCATGGAGGCACAGCTGGGAAAAAGCCAGAGAAAAACAAAATATTAGATCTTTGGTTGGTATTCTCAAAATCAAATGCATCTGCAGTGGGGGAAATCAATATTTCCCCCACTGCAGATAGATAGAAAGATTGACTTGATAGACTTGATTTTGCCACCATATAGTTGCCCCTTGCTGACCATTAGAAAGAATGCAGCTTGTATGCACTTCATCACAGGACCTGTAAAACTAATGGGGGAGGGGTGTCTGTGTTTTGTTTTTGTTTTTTTCTTTAAACAGACGTGTTGCATTTCATGGCATTATGATTGCAAATACAAATTTTTGCAGATGCAGTAAAGTAAACCTATGGTCGTTTGAAAATGATGATAGTGAATTCTTACTGGTCTGAATTGATACATCCAAACAAAGTACAACAATTAAGCCAAACACACAGGTTAAATGTGACCAAATGAAGATTTGTGTGAAGACATGTAGAAACTGTAGCTCAGTTCTCCTCCCTCCTCTCCGGCCTTGTGTCTTCCATCCACTTCCCCTCCCTTTGTTCTGGATCGTGATGGCACAAATGAAATTAACAGCGATCGCAGAGCTGCTTATTCATCAGCTTCCAGATAATTTGAATGACAAAACCCTGTTACAGCGCGTATCAAGTATAAAAGCTGTCTGGCAGCCACAGGTTGTTGGACAGTTTCCCACAAATACAGAACATCAAACATGGGCAAGGTATGCAGAGAGCAGACCGGAAAACAAGCACTTTTCAAATTTAAGACAAACTCTGCAGATGAACAATGGAGAGAAATAAAAGAGAAGGTCAGCTCTGACATCTTTTCTAAATCAATTTTGTAAAGTTTTTTCTTTCTTTTCCACAGATCATCTTCTACGAGGACAGGAACTTCCAGGGTCGCTCCTATGAGTGCATGAGCGACTGCTCTGACATGTCCTCCTACCTGAGCCGCTGCAACTCCTGCAGGGTGGAGAACGGATGCTTCATGGTCTACGATCGCCCCAACTACATGGGGAACCAGTATTTTCTGAGGAGGGGCGAGTACTCGGATTACATGTCTTTTGGCATGAGTGACTCTATCCGATCCTGCCGATTAATTCCTCAGGTACTCAGGGATTACAACAAGGAAAACATGTCTAGTTCATATAATATCATAGTTTATATGATATAAGAAACTATGATATTGTTGAGCTGATGAAACTGCTTTTCACACACTAAGTCTGCAAATCTGATATCAGCAACATTTCACTGTAGCCTTTAACAGTCCAACGTTTCCTCTCCTCCTTTAACTAACAGCACAGAGGCTCTTACAGGATAAGGATTTATGAGAGGGAGAACTTCCAGGGCCCGAATCATGAGCTGATGGACGACTGCGACAACATCATGGACCGCTACAGCCTGTCTGACTGCCAGTCATGCAATGTGATAGATGGCCACTGGCTGATGTACGAGCAGCCCCACTACAGAGGCAGGATGGTCTACCTGAGACCTGGAGAGTACAGGAGCATGAGAGATATCGGATATAGTGGCATGAGGCTCAGCTCTGCTAGACGTATAATGGATTCCTGTTGATGCAAAGGAAAATAATGCGCTGAATAATAAAGTGAAAGATTAAACTAATGCCATCTGATATTGAGTAGATTTGTGATGTACGTGCGTGCGGGTGGGTGTGTACGTGTTTGTGTGCGACTGTGTATTCATATCTCTGTGGGGACCAAAACTGTAAGTTTACTATACTTTTGGGAACCAACAATTCTTATGGGGACAGAATCCCAGTCCCCACAAGTTTAAAGGTATTTTTCAGACTCAAAATGTGGTTTTAGTGTCAGGGTTACAATTAGGTTATGGTTAGGGTAAGGAGCTAGGGAAAGCATTATGTCAGTTAGACGTTCCCACAAAGATATGAATACATGGTAGTGTGTGTGTGTGTGTGTGTGTGCGTGTGTGTGCGCGTGTGGTGCGTGCGTGTGTCGGGGAGGAGTCGGGTGTCAACTACACTGTAATATATGAACTCATGCTAAAAAGCACACTACAGAGCTATAATAGCATACATAATAGAGGGATATTCAATTCCTCTAATTTCTAATGCAATTCTAGTTTATTTATAATAATCACAAAAATAGTTGCCCCAATCTTCATTAGAGAAGATCCTACAACGCATACAATAATAATACAAGAGCACATGTGTAACTTAAGACAGTATTATATCTGCTATGAAAATATCATGTTGCAGAAATATGTACAAAATGCAGTTAAATTACACATTGTCACAACAGTGTATATAAAAGATGTGTGCCTTAAACCAGATTTCTTTCTCCAACAGGAGGTGCCGCCTCTTGTTGCAAAAAGAATTGCAAAAATCTAAAATAAAATTACCGTTTATTCCTCTTGATCTCAGGCCAAACTAAACAGTTCATGATCTCAAGTTTCTTTATATCTAGTTTCAAGTCATGCTTCTCCTTTTGTAAAATATGGTCAATATGAGAGTCAAAATGATAAAAAAAAGCAGGATATGCATTTCCTTGATTGTCATGTCATGTTTCAAAAGCAATGGTGAAGACACTCTGGATTTTATATGCTACACAGGTTACAACACACAGTTTAGACTGAATGATTTGTATTCACAATAAATGTTATTAGTAATGTCACACATACAATTAAACACGCTTCTTCTGGGCTATATTCTCAGCAGCATATTAAACATATCAGGTCCCCATAAGGAGAATCATGTGCTAACGGCTGTCTAAATGACTCGGGTAAAGTTTGTAGCATGCGTGCTTGTTGTTTTTGTCTGCTTCCACTTGTCTTTGCACTAGGATGCTGTCGGAGTAAATGTGCAGTCATATTCGTTGTGTTCCCACTAGTGCTGTCAGCGTTAATCTCGTTGAAATGACGTTAACGCCACAACACGGCAAATCTCCGTTAACGAGCTACCGTGGATCGCCCCGTGCATGGGGCTAGACGGCCAACACGTTAACGAGCTAACTGCGCTAACACACTAGTTCCCACCCATGTAATTGAGCATTGCGTGGCACATCCAACATACTGTTTTACTTTAGTCCATGACGCGCTTACCTTCAGGGTCATACGTCACATGAAAACCAAAATAATTCCAAACGCCAGATCTTTTTTTTTTTCCTCCTCTTTTTCTTTTTTCTTCCCTGTCTATAAAAAAAGTCTCCACATCTTGATATTCCTCCTGTACTGCTGGTGTATTTTGTGACTTTGGGATCTTGACTGGAATTTCAAATAAAGTTCTTCGGGTTTAAACAACATTTCGCTGCAGAGTATTTCTTCAGATCTGAGGAATGTCTGGCACCGATGAAAACCAGATTTTATCAGACCTCTCCGTCAGTGTGATCTTATAAACTTTAAATCTTGAAGTTTTGCTTTTAACCTTGATGGACTCTTGCATGCTTATAAGACACCTTGGCCTGGAAACTTTCCTTAATTTTGATTGCTGTCAGGTGAATTTCTTTGGGGGGGGGGGGCTGATGTGAGGATACTTTTTTTTTTTTTTTTTTTTTTTTTTTTTTTTGTGTGTGTGTGTGTGTGTGTGTGTGTGTGTGTGTGTGTGTGTGTGTGTGTGTGTGTGTGTGTGTGTGTGTGTGTGTGTGTGTACATGTTTACATATCCTTGTGGGGACCAAACATTGGAAGATTACTTGTGGGGACCAACAGCCCTTATGGGGACAAAGTCCCCGTTCCCATGAGTTTGAATTTTTAAGACTCAAAACATAGTTTTAGTGTCAGGATTACAATTAGCTTAGATAGATAAAGTTATCACAGTGTTTCCAATTATCAAGAACTGGAGTGACAAATTCAAAGAAGACACTCTGTACAGAAACAACATTGGGAGAGGTAGAAAGTGAAAGATTTCAAAGACTCTGGACCAAAAACTAGTGAGAGATTTGTCTAAAGACCCCAGAACAACTGCAAAGATACTTGTTAATGGTTTTGCCAACTCAAGAATGTAGCCTCAAAAAGGCAACAGGAGTGGACTGTGAGGTTGCAGATCAGTAAAACCTTCACACCTTGAAGTAGGACAACCTGGACAAAACTCATGTACTGGAACGTATTGGAAGCACGTTCTTAATTAAGTTAGGTGAGGTGAAATTACAGTTCTTTGGATACAGAGATGCTGCTTATGCTTGGAGAACAAAGAACACCATCCCCACATTTAAACACGGTGGTTGGAGTATTTTGAGAACTGAAGACCGAGGTCCACCCTAGAAGACTATTGATTAAGAGAGATTTGCCAAAGAAGAATGGGATTGCTCAGTAGATGTGTGCGAGACTTCTACAAACATTTGTGAAAGAATGGGTTGTTCCCAGGAGCTCAGTGAATTCCAGTGTGGTAGTGTGATCAGCTGCAACCTGTGCAACTACTAAATATCGCACAATATTGAAAGACGTGAGACTTGAAAACTAAACGACTACAGGCTGTTCCAGTATACAATTATCTATTAGCATAGCATAATAATTTTAACCCTTGTAGTAAAAAAAAAAAAAGCTGCATTTAAATTTTGTCTTAAACACCAGGTGACTATTGGAAAAAAGACTTTTATAAAACCTTTAATTTCAACCAGAATCTCTTCAGCATGAAAAGAGTTTTTAATTTGTTTTTTTAAGGTCTTTTGCAAAGGAGATCAGGGCTTTACTATTCCATATTTATGAAACAAGCAAAGCATTCACATCAAGACCTTTTCATAACTTTTAAATCAAATATTGCTTTTTAGTTGCTGTTGCGTCACTTTATTTTAATCTTTTAGCTGCACAGCGCTTCAATAAACACCTGGTGCTTTTAAATGTCCTTACAAACACATTGACTTACCTATTTTCCTTTTTGTTGCTGATCCTTGCACAATAATTTCGCAGCATGTGGCAGATACAGAGCAACAGTAAATTTGCAGACCAGAGGACAACTTGTTTTGATCAAATCTAGGTTGCAGCTTATTGTCTACCTTATCACAGCTGGAAATAACAGTTTTAAATTGCTTTTGGGAGAATATTTTTTTGAAAATATGGGTTTTGACTTAAAACCTTATTGACCTGCCTGGGTCCATAATATAGGCTACCTCAAATAGAGTGTGCAGTGTTGTTAGTTGTTCTTGATTCATGAATGTATCTGCTTCTCATTAATAGGAGTTTGACAACACATCTTTACAGCACACATGCTGGCCTGTCATAGCAGGAATTTCACAGTTATTAATGGTTCTCTATTGATACAGTAACTCTGAAGGCAGCAGTTAAATCTAGTCACACTAGCAAGGTGAAACAGAATCTTGCTAGTATTCCTGTATTCATTACATTTCCAGCACTTTGAGTGATTAGATATCCCATTTACAGTGGCTTGCAAAAGTATTCAGCCCTCTTCAACTTTTCCACATTTTGTCACATTACAACCACAAACATGTATCAATTTTTTTGGAATTCCACGTGGAAGACCAATACAAAGTGGTGCACACGTGAGAAGTGGAACGAAAATCATACATGATTCCAAACATTTTTTACAAATAAATAACTGAAAAGTGGGGTGTGCGTAATTACGCCAGATCTGAATGAGGGTGGGGGAGGTTCAATTTGCCATGTTGCAAGGAGAGCTTAACTTCTGTCTGGCTAGCTTGCCCTGCGCTCAGTGAATCTGCGTTCGACTACTCCGCCTAGGCTGCACTGTCGAGCGCAGATCCACTGAGCGCTAAACACAGACAGCATCGTCAGAAGGAAAGTTGATAAAATAAATTAAAAGTTTTGTATTGTTCGATACATATGCGTACCGAACCAAAAGCACTGTATCGAACGGTTCAATATCGATACGAGTATCGTTGCACCCCTAATAGATATATATAGATATAGATACATACAATGCTGAGGATGATGTACATCAGAGGTCCCCAACCTTTTTTTTGCTACGGACCGGTTTATGTCTGACAATATTTTCACAGACAGGCCTTTAAGGTGTCGCAGATAAATACAACAAAATAAAAGCAGTACTGGTACCAAAAAAAAGAAGATTTATTCATAACACATGGGAAAAGACCCAGGGATAAAAATGATAAAAACAAATAATGATAAAAACTGATTAAAAACCCTGAAAACCATAAATTTCACACCCAAGCCTCAACTCTCGCAGCCCGGTACCAAACGACTCATGGACTTGGCCTGGGGTTTGGGGACCGCTGATGTACATGATGCAGTGGTAGACCGTGATCACCAGTCAGTATTGGTAACTAGTAAATGTGTTTGCCGAGATGTAAATGCTGTGATGTAAAAACTACAGTCTTTTCTTCACAAATGTAACTGTGTTTAAATCTAAAGTTGAAGCATTTGTACATTTGATCAGTTGCTCAGCTCTGATATGCATTCACATAATAGACTGAACACGAGGATGTAACAGAGTGCTTTTCAACACACAGCAATCACTGACAGTACAAAGAGTCCCAGCTGATACATCTGCTCACTGTCACCCACCTGTACCCCATATGAGAGCCACAGAGGTTGGCACTGCACCAGATGCATACAGTCTGGAATAATAACCATTTACAGAGCGATTTAACAAACATTATAGCCCTGTATGGTATCCTGCTGAGTAAGATATTCAAAACAATGGCTCCATAGATCATTTAGCCATCATGATGGGTATAAAAGTGACAGAGAGCTTGGCTGGGCCAAGTACGAGTGGAATCAGGGACAGAATTGACGACCAAAATGGGCAGAGTAAGAGAGAAATTTACAAACTGTTGCTGTAATTGAGACCAATAAACACTTGATTAAATCATACATTAAACTGTTTTATTTTCAGATCATCTTCTATGAGGACAGGAATTTTCAGGGTCGCTCCTATGAGACCAGCAGTGACTGTGCTGAGCTCACCTCCTACCTGAGCCGCTGCAACTCCTGTAGGGTGGAGAGCGGCTGCTTCATGGTGTACGAACGTTCCAACTACATGGGTCACCAGATGCTGGTGAGAAGGGGAGAGTACCCTGACAACCAGCGGCTGATGGGAATGAGCATGAGCGACTGCATCCGTTCCTGCCGCATGATTCCCATGGTATGTAAGACCTGAAAATATATAGAAATATACAGAAACTATGGGGTACCCCACATGTTTCAAAATAAAAGCATTTATCAGGCAGTGAGAATATTTTTTGCTTGCATGTGCTGTGCACAAACTTGTAAGCTTCTTAATCATTTTGTGCTTTACTTCTATCTACTTCTATTTTCTGCAGTTATATGTGTTAAACAAAACAACTCTAATATTGCTGATAAAGTAATGATCTGACCTTTCACAGCACAGAGGGCCTTTCAGGATGAAGATCTATGAGAGGGATAACTTCGGTGGTCAGGTGCATGAGCTGATGGACGACTGCGAGAACATCATGGACCGCTACCGCATGTCTGACTGCCAGTCTGCCAACGTGATGGATGGCCACTGGCTGATGTACGAGCAGCCTCATTATAGAGGCAGGATGATGTACCTGAGACCTGGAGAGTACAGGAGCTTCAGGGAGATGGGGATGGGTCCCACGGACATGAGGATTGGATCCATCAGACGTATCATGGAATCCTGTTAGGCGAGACAGACAAAATAAATAAACTGTTAATAAACAGCTCGTATCTGTTTCAGTTCATCATTTGGGTCGACTTCCCTGGCAAACTCACAAACCTGAGAGAAAAGTGCATGAATTATCAGCAACTGGCTGCTCTTACTGTTGATAGTTTATCCACGGTGTCACTTAATTCTTCTACTTATGAAATGTGTTGTGTCATATGAAGCACATGCCACTGAAAAATAAATTACTTAAATGTAAATAAAGCCGACATTACAGAACAACAGTTGTCTTTTATTTATGTTAATGCATGGTGCACTCCTGGTTAGCATAGGGCTGCTTTTCAGTCAGTTTTAATTTCCTGTTCTGCTCTGTGAAAACAGAAACAGAAAGTGTGTACATAAGAACATCTTTTGGTTTTATTGAAATACATTTTGTGTGGCAGAAATAACAGCGATGCATAAATCAGATGTATACAGGTAACATAAATGGTTAGCACACACTACACACAGCACACCCAGTAACTTATACTCAATCCCAGCCTATTGGTCTTGATATGTCATTATGTCTTCAGACTTTCTACTTGTTACAATTCTCATAATGGCCATCAATAATGAAAGTGAAGGGTAATGATAGCTCTACTTGCCCTGCATGTCCTAAAGATGGAGATTTTACAGCTGTGGTGAGGACACTGCATATAAACTAAAAGAAGCTTCTGCATCTTGTTTGTTCTGGATCCTGAAGGAAGGAAGATTTAGAGCCACAAGAGAACACTTTACTTTTATGTAAGCTAGCAAGGTCATGACAATGTTGGAACACAGCTGTTTGACAAGAATTTAAAAGGGCTACTCAGTAATGGTCTTTCGCATCAGAGCTGGCTGAAAGTCTGGACGACTTAATCAGAGACGTGCTTTCTGAACACTGGAGAAAGCAATACAAATAAAAAGAGATGCTCATCTGGCACATCTCTAGGTACTCCAGGGGTACATAACTGTGTTAAAAAAGTGATTTTGTCCACTAACAGTTCCAATATTGTCATGTCATCGCAGGAGGTAGTATTATGTTATTGGCAATGGTAACAACTGTGAAAAAAATCATCAAGAAAAACACTGTGCAAGATGTCCCAAACAAGATTCTCAATTAGATATTTACTTTGGATTTTTGTAGAGCATGGGTCCCAAACTTCAATGAGCTGTGGCACTGTCATCTCATGTGAGGGCCACTTTAGTGTTAAGGTTGTACAATAAAACAAACAAACAAATATTTATGAAAATGTAAATGTTTTTTCTCACTCTTAACTAATTGAAGCCTTTCATGAACTACCAAATGAATATAATAACTATAACTGTTTGTATTTAACAAAATGACAGTGCAGACATAAGTGAAAACTTTTCTTTACAAATAACTAACAAAGTCAATCCCTCAACATGTTTGTGCTCTCTGCTCGTATTGCCTTCATATTAAATCACTTTGTGCTTTTTAAAGAACTTATTTTAACATTGGACTCAACAACAAACAAATCCTCCCCAACAAAAAAATTAACTTCAAGGGTCAAATTGCATTATATTTCTTCACATAGGGGTGATGTAGGCCGCAAGTGGCCCCCGGGCCGTGAGTTTGAGACCCCTGTTGTAGAGCGTGGAATATTTAATTTTTGTGTTGACAGTTTGGATTTTTGAAGCAGGCAAAGTCTTTATAAGCTGAAGGTTGCTCATTTTGGCCTTTACATTCTCGAGGTAATGCTGACTGAATATGGCAATGTTTTTCTGGTGGAAATGTAACAAAAACATTATAGTGGGATTGTTTAATCCCACTATAATGGGATTAAACAATCCCATTATAGTCCATAATATCCATATTGCACAGGCTCTCCACCATATCTCCCTGACAACTTATTTTTTTCTGTTTTCTGATCCGTATACAATCCATAACAAGTAGAAAGTCTGAAGACATAAGTGAAGTTATCTTTTTATGGAGCACAACCATTGCAGATATAAATAATTTGGTGATGCTTTTCCTATTAAAACTGGTCAAATTGCCGACTGTGATAAATGTCTATACCAACCTGATCTCATGTTGTCTGTTCATTTGAACCAAATAAACAGCAACTCTGCAGTGAATCTTATTAAATGGTATCCTGACAGACTTAGTGCTGGATGCTGTTTGCTAACTTCATCATTTTAACTTGTTCACATATTAGTATTCCCACAACTTGCACTCCTCACGAGCAGCCAAAAAATGCTCAGTTTATTTAAATTATTAGTTCAGAGGAAATTGATTACATGAAATGTTTCAGTTATTCATGTTTTTAAATCTTATCATGTTGCTCACTTGTAGCTGAACAAATTTCTAAAAACAAAAGAGAAGAAAAAACTAAAACTTTCTACCTTTACATATTGCACAGGCTCTCCACCATATCTCCCTGACAACTTATTTTTTTCTGTTTTCTGATCCGCATCTAATGCTCTACTTAACTGGACAATAAATCAGTTTTTGTGTGTTTTCATACCACAAAAAAGGAAATGATCTCTACAGTGTTCATATTTATATTTATAGTGTTTTATATTTTTACATAAACATATAATGACTTCAAAAACATCTGTTAGTAAATGAAATATCCTTCACACTGAAGACAGAAATGGTTGTCATACTACAGTTGGAAGCTTCTATTTATTTTCTTTATGTGTAACAACAATACCACATGTATACACTACATGCATTTCCACTAGTGTGGCGTCACAAAATAACCCTTTAGTTCCCTGACTGCTCAGTAGGCTTCTATGCCATGTTGCTGGGTCAGGGGTTTGCACAATAGACGCCACACATCCTATGTTCCCACACTGCAGGTATAAAAGTAACAGCTACCACTGACAGGAATACACAGAAGCCACAGCTCAGTCCTGAGGAACCACCAGAAGACCGTGACCATGGGCAGAGTATGTAAAGCATGGGAAAGATTTTTATTCATTAAAAAAAAAAAATCTGTGGATTCCTATTCTAACGAGCTTTGTTGTTCTTTCAGATCATCTTCTACGAGGACAGGAACTTCCAGGGCCGCTCCTATGAGTGCATGAGCGACTGCTCTGACATGTCCTCCTACCTGAGCAGGTGTCACTCCTGCAGGGTGGAGAGCGGCTGCTTCATGGTCTACGACCGCCCCAACTACATGGGAAACCAGTATTTCATGAGGAGGGGCGAGTACGCTGACTACATGAGCATGATGGGCATGAGCGGTGGTATCAGATCTTGCCGTATGATCCCCATGGTAGGTGTAAAGTGGTGGTACTTCCATATAAGACCTTTTTGGAATTAACATAAGTTTCATGCTTAATTTTATTTTGTCTTGTGTCTATAAAACAGTACAGAGGCCAGTTCAGGATGAGGATCTATGAGAGGGAGAACTTCGGTGGTCAGATGTACGAGCTGATGGACGACTGCGACAGCATCATGGACCGCTACCGCATGTCCGACTGCATGTCCTGCAACGTGATGGATGGCCACTGGCTGATGTACGAGCAAGCCCCACTACAGAGGCAGGATGATGTACCTGAGGCCCGGAGAGTACAGGAGCTTCAGGGAGATGGGAATGAGCGGGATGAGGTTCATGAGCATGAGGCGCATCATGGACATGTGCTAATTTTACATTTTGACTTCAATAAATGATATAAATTTCTAAATTCTTGTGTCATGACATTTAATTTCATTACTGTGAACCTTTTTAAGATCATTCATACTGAATTCAAATGCATTGAGTATCAGTGGAAACCACCGAGTAAAAAACATGTTTTCATTCTTCTTTTGAATGGCATCTCCAAAAGACTGAATTACCACCTGTTTCTATTTGATTTGTAGAAGTCAGCTGTGGTAGACAGCGATATATGGATATGCATCCAGCCTAGGTTATGGTATTTTTATTAATGCCTTTCAACAGTGTCGTTTCCAAGAGTAAATTCTGATTTGGTTCTGTGAAACAAACTGATGTGAATGTTCTTTATAAGTGTCTGGTTGGCATTTTTGGGTAACTTAGAGAAGTAACATTTCAGTATCACAGCCATTAAGAAGTAATCCATTACATTACAGCATCACATCCTAAGAAACAAATTTGTAAGCAAATTTTTGCTTTGCCAACATATAACACCACATACACAATGGTTTATTATGCATATGGGTACTGCATAAAAATAGAAAATAAAGTATATAATTTGTAACTATGTTTTGATTTATGTATTTGCAGTAGTCGATGCAAATATCATGAATGTGCTGAATTTAACAAAACTAGAGAAAATAACCACGATAATATGAAGAGATTTGCTTCCTTTTGGGTTCAGGGTCAACAAATTATCAGTATTTATTAGTAGTAGTCATTGTTTTGGAGCATCAAAGTGATATAGTTTATGGATGTAGTTCCATTCTGCCAGCTGAAAAGCACAATGTCAGCAGTAGTGATGTTCTGATTTGCAAAAGGAGAAATTAATCTGAAAGGCAATGACAGTACAAAGATATAAGGAACATAATTGTGTAGTGTTTTTCTTCAACTATCTGAGTATTCAGGTGAATATATTTCACCAAATCTTTACCCTGATTGGTTTTGACAGACTGCTCGAGAGCCAATTAGAATGCCTGAATAAGTAACATGACCACAACAGAGATGACATTTGAGAACTGACCGATAAAAGCAAGGCACCAACGAAAAGTCAGTGGCTCATATGGAGAAACTGGAAGAGTAGGTTTCAAATAAATTTTACCAGCTGACCATATTTGATGGTTGTGGAATTCCAGGTGGAGTTTATCTTTTTTTCTTACTGTCCCTGCATGTGTTTCTTCTAGATACTCCAGTTTCCTCTTACAGTCCATATGCATTAGGTTAATGGTGATTCTCAGTTGGCCATGGATGCAGATGTAAGAACATGTGGCTGTCTGTCTCAGTATAGTAAGAACATGTAAACCCCAGCCATCTAAGGATTCAAACCCAAGACCTTCTTACTGTGAGTCAGTGATGCTAACCACGGAACCACTGTGCTGCCTCTAAATCCAGTTCCCCTACGATCCTAAATGATTTCAGATCATTTGCACTTAAATCAGTTTTGATAAAAATATTTGAAAACTGGTGAGGTAGGCGATCTTGAGAAAAACAGCAGGTGGTTGACCGAGTCTCTCTACAGGCTACTGGGAAGAGTAGAAGATGCCACAGTAACTTTGTTCAACTCAGTTTTAAAAAACTTGGAGAGAAAAGGTTCTCAGCCACAATATTAAAACCACTAATGAGGCGAGCTGATTAATGAGTATTAATCATTCTGTTACAATCCTTTGCTTTTCCAGAAAAGTTTAGAGCATTGCATTCCAGTGGATCTTACTTTGACACTGAGCACCTGCCTGAACTTAGCTCTGAAGTGACTCGTGACACACAACAGAGATTCCAAGGCTTTGTTTTGACATCCAAACTCCCCAGATGACAGTCCAATCAAAGAACTCCTTAATGAGCAGGAATAAACCTTTCCTCCACAACTGCCTTTTAGAAATGTACTGCAAGCACTTTAAAACTACTTCAACAGAGGGAACATGTCTGTGTGAAAAGAGGAAGTAAAGCTTGTAGGAGTGCAATGAATACAGTTATTTCCTTTTCTAAAGTGGTGTTTTTTCAAGGTGTTTGATCTTTTTTATGAAAATAGTTTATAATCAGAAATTATTATCAAAGTTATTCAAAAGAAAGACAATGAAAGTAAAAAAAAAAAAGACTAAATACCTAATGATCTCACGGCCCAATTCCTATTTTTAAAACTTCATAGCAATGGAAAATGTCAAAAGATGAAGACTAAAGAACATATACATTCATCTGCACAATATGATTCTGCTGAAATCATTTATTCTGTTCATGAAATTGTCACGGTCTGGCTGGCAGACCGTGGGGAGATGGGGAAATAGGACCCAAACGCCGGACTCTTCAGTGCAACAGTGTTTATTTACAAGGTGGTGAAGTAAACAACAATAAATCCCCAGCTTCCCAGACTCCCGTGTAGTGTCTTCTTCCCAAAAGTCCCCGTGTAGTGCTCTCTGCCCCAGTGTCCCTGCACTCCCCGTGCTCACTGCTCCTTCTCGTCCCACACTCTTCCTGAGGGGAAAACAATAGAGGCAGCCGTTACACACTTATCCCAGCAGGGATACACTCACACTTGACTGTGCTTGAAGACTGACGTGTAGTCAAACGTAATAATCCAGTGTCGGTGGAAGCTCCACCGCTCATCTAAATAGCTCCCCCGACAAGCCCAGATGAGGAGCAGGTGTGCGGCAAGGACTTTGGGTGTGGCCAGCCCTCAAGTTAGGCCACGCCCCCAGGGCTGAAGGTGCCTGTAACTTGGCCACAGAAGAAAGGCAACACACACACACACACACACCTGCCTACATACAGATGTGGGCAGGGGCAGTGCAGACAACACACCAAATAATAATAATAATAATAATGATAATAATAATAATAACAATAATAACAATAACAACAACAGTCATAGTCCCCACTGCCCACGGACCCCGAGTCCCCAGAGCCGGGTCCGTGACAGAAATAACAAACAAACAACTCTCTTTTTTTGTAAATACCACCACTTGAAAACAAATTAAATATACAAATACCTGCCATAGCATTGAAAATCACAAATTCAAACTCAGTTATAACAAATCACCAAGTATACTATTTCTTTTTCCCTCTTTAACTCATACTCAGGAGTTTGGCAAAAGTTCGTATTATTAGCCTTGAGGGGCTCACTTTTACATACCTGATGAAAACAAATCCACAAACTACTATCTACTTATCTGGCTTGATAACTGCTATCTGGCTTGTTCGTATAAACTCACTATTGTACTATACAGCTTGCAGAAAATCTATACTTTTCAAAAGTCATTCACATCTATATAAATAACGTTCTAAGCTATTTTTATTAAAAAAAAAAAAAAACTCTGCTCTTGTGAAAGGAAAATTCTGTTAAGAGGTTATGACCTTGTTGGTATATGGGTAAGCAACTAAAAACTGTATAGGCTTCTATAACAGCTTGCTGTGTCAGGGCTTTGAACAATGGACAGGCAAACTGTCTTTGTCTCTGGCCAGGTATAAATACAACTTGTTCAGACAGCCAGTGCATCAGTTCAAAAACAGTTCTCTAAGAGACCTGAATCACCGCAGTCGACATGGGCAAAGTAGGAAACTAAATTGTTAAATCAACATTAATTAGCCTATACTTAAGTTATCTTGGAGAGCATGATTGTAAAAATGTCCTTGATTTTTCAGATCATCTTCTACGAGGACAGGAACTTCCAGGGTCGCTCCTATGAGTGCATGAGCGACTGTCCCGACATGTCCTCCTACCTGAGCAGGTGTCACTCCTGCAGGGTGGAGAGCGGCTGCTTCATGGTCTACGACCGCCCCAACTTCATGGGAAACCAGTATTTCATGAGGA